ATGTCCCTTATATTCACTGCATTATTATTTACAATAGCCAAGATATGAAAGCAAGCATTCACTGATGAACAAACTGATATTAATGGAAATATTCAGCCATAAAAAAGAATAAAATATTGCCCAGTTTTTGACAGAGAAAATCTTAAACAGCCCAAGCCCAGAATGGAGCCTGATGCAGGTTTGAGCTCATGACCCTGAGATCATAACCTGAGCCAAAATCAAGAATCAGACATTTAACCAACTAAGCCACCCAGGTGCGCTAAATCTTGCCATTCTTAACACATAGACTTTGAGAATGTTATGCTAAGTGGAGTAAGAGAGAAAGACAAATAGTGTATGATCTCACTTATATGTGGAATCTTTCTTTTTAAAGATTTTATTTATTTATTCATGAGAGACACACACACACAGAGGCAGAGACATAGACAGAGGGAGAAACAGGCTCCATGCAGGGAGCCCAACGTAGGATTCAATCCAAGGCCATCCAGGATCAGGCCCCAGGCCAAAGGCAGCGCTAAACCGCTGAGCCACCCTTATATGTGGAATCTAAAAACAAAAACACAGGGGCATCTGGGTGGCACAGTTAAGCATCCCACTCTTGGTTTCAGCTCCAGTCATAATCTCAGAGTCCTGAGATCAAGACCCACATCAGGCTCCGTGCTTAGGCAGAGTCTGCTTGAGACTCTCCCTCTGCCCCTCCTTTACTGTGCACATGCTCTCTAAAATAAATAAATCCAAAAAATAATAAGAACAAAAGCACAAACTCCTACAGAAAGCAAAATGGTGGTTGCCAGCGGTGAAAGGTGGGGAAAATGAGTGAAGGGAGGTCAAAAGTACAAACTTTCGGGATCCCTGGGTGGCGCAAGTGGTTTGGCGCCTGCCTTTGGCCCAGGGCGCGATCCTGGAGATCCAGGATCGAATCCCACGTCGGGCTCCCAGTGCATGGAGCCTGCTTCTCCCTCTGCCTGTATCTCTGCCTCTCTCTCTCTCTCTGTGTGTGTGACTATCGTAAATAAATAAAAATTAAAAAAAAAAAAAAAAAAAAAAAGTACAAACTTTCAGTTACAAAATAAATCATAAGGACATAGGATACAACATGGTGAGTAGAGTTCATAATACTGTTACTGAATATTTGAAAGTTGCTAAAAGTATAGATCTTAAAATTTCTATGGTCAGTAAAGAAATTGTAACTGTGCAATGAAAGATGTTAACTAGACTTACTGTGAAAATATTTCACAATAAATACAAATACCAAGCCATTATGTTGCACTTGAAACTACTGTTACATGCCAATTATATCTCAATAAAAATAAGAAAAATAAAATGGTAAAATTTACAAAAGACATTTAAAATTACAGGAAATTAAAAGACACTATCAAAACCAAAAGCTAGCTCTCTGAAATGATTAATGGAATTGGTAAATGTCTAGTCAAGCTAAGTGAGAAAAGAGGGAAGACAGAGATTACTAATACCAGAAGGAATGAAAGGAGGTGGAAATGAAAAAACATTTGATAAAACCCAACACACACTTATAAAGAACAAGGTAAGAAGTCTCTCATCACTCCTATTCTTCATTGTCCTGGAAGACCTAGCTCATGCAGTAAGGCAACAAAAGGAAATAAAAGTTATATAGATTGAGAAGCAAAACATAAACCTGTGAGTTACATAGCACATGGTTTTCTATGTAGAATATCTGATCGTATCCCCAACAATTTCAGAGATTGCTCTGAAAATTATTGGGAGTACAGCAAAGTTGAAGGATGCAGAAGTCAACTGCTTTCCTACTGACCCACACAAATGTAGTAAACTGATTTTTGACAAAGAAAATAAACTTATATACACCATATTTTACTACTTAATAGTATTTTTAACTTTTGGTACTTTAAATTTAATTTTAATTTAAACTTTTCTACATAGGAAATCATTTTAAGATTTAATTCTTCAAGCACTAACAGGAATAAAACTGCAACCCATAAAAAATGAAAAATTTCAAATCTCTAAAAGAACAAGGGACATCATAGTTCGTCCTTCTACTATATCTCACACTAGGGATACTATCAGGGATGAATAGCACGCAGCTTTCCATTAAGGGATTGCATTTAAAACCTGAAACCTACTAGGTATTTTAAAGATTTACATAAACTCAAGTAGTTTTTCTTACATCAATTAAAATAGAAAATTCATTTGCCTTAAAAATAGTATGACCTTTAAATATGAAAGTTCTCTGGGGACATGAACATACAAAAACTGATCTAAAAATAAAAATGAGGGGATCCCTGGGTGGCTCAGCGGTTAAGTGCCTGCCTTCCGCCCAGGGCGTGGTTCTGGAGCCCTGGGATCGAGTCCCGCATCGGTCTCCCTGCATGGAGCCTGCTTCTCCCTCTGCCTGTGTCTCTGCCTCTCTCTCTGTCTCTCATGAATGAATAAAATCTTTAAATAAATAAATAAATAAATAAAAAATAAATAAATAAAATAAAAATGAGCCAGCTGGCTCAGTCAGTAGAGCATGTGACTCCTGATCTCAGGGTTATAAGTTCGAGTCCCATGTTGGGTGTAGAGATTTCTTTTTTTTTTGGGGGGGGGGTGTAGAGATTTCTTAAAAATCTTTATATTAAAAAATAAAAACAAAGGATGTGCCTATTAATTTCCATATGCCCATCTCACAGCTTGAGATTGTTACCTAAAAGGAATAAAAGTTCTGTCTGCTTTCAACATTTTATTGCCTCACACATTTTTCTCAGTCAAGTTACATTTTCAAAGCCCAAGAAATAAAAAAATCTTACCCATTCAGACAGGAAATAAAACTGCAAACTACTAAGGAAACTAGGCTGAAGGGCCTGGAATATTCAATAGATAAAAAAAGAATGCCAAGGAAAGAAATGCAAACTTTCAAATCAGCTCAGATAAGCAGCCTGTTTACCCAAGAGTTAAGAAGGAAAACCCACATTCAGAAATTAAACATTTCCAAGCTGGGCTCTGGACACGGCCAGTTGAGATGGCGCCTCCACAGTGTGAGGTCAGGCCCTGGTGAAGGAGGGCGGGTCGGGTCATCTGAACAGCTGCAAAAATGTACTTACTCTGGGAGCCCTGCACACCCTCCTCTCTCCTGGCAGCTTACAGGAACTCCCTCTCCCAAGGTCTCCAGGATTCCAAATGAGGAAACTCTCTGGCACACTCAGTTTAAGGTTCTAACTCCATTGAACTCCCCAATTCATAAACATTTTGTCCAGGAGACAGAACTCCAGACTTTTCAGTTTCTCAATAGCCAAATTACACTCGAGTGCACCTATGACATGGATGCAAAACCCAAATGTGTAAAAATATCCAGGGCTGAGAAAACTTCCTTTGCCTTTGCCAGCTCAAAGCTGGCCTGAGCTTGGAGTCCTCGGCCTGTGCTCCCCAGTCACAATGCCTTGGACCACCACTGATAATTTTTTTTTAATTTTTTATTTATTTATGACAGTCACAGAGAGAGAGAGAGAGAGAGGCAGAGACACAGGCAGAGGGAGAAGCAGGCTCCATGCACCGGAAGCCTGACGTGGGACTCGATCCCGGGTCTCCAGGATCGCGCCCCGGGCCAAAGACAGGCGGCAAACCGCTGCGCCACCCAGGGATCCCCACCACTGATAATTTAAAGTATGTAAACACAGTGGGGTTCAAGAATCTGGCATAATCACACAAACCCAGTGTTTACATGTAGAGAAGGAAAGACAATTTTAAGGAATTTTACTGGTTCAACAAGAAAACCAGCTATTAACAGAAAAGGTGTCAATTATTTCCAAGAAACTGATTTCTAAGCAACTGTGTTGGAATACTTAAGGTTAGAAGTTTAGGCCCTGATACACCATTTAAAATCACCTGAAAGTAAGGATTTACCTCAGAATATTGCGATACCCACTCAGAAGAAAGAAAGGGAAGAGATTTTAACAAATGGAAGGTAAATTTTTTCCCCTGAAATTCACCTTTTTTGGAAATACTTCACATACTATCTCCCAAGCTCTAAGTTTCAAGTGACTAAATCTTTTCATAGTGACCAACGCAAGGAGGGGCCGTGATGACAGGACAGATCACCCAGGAAAGTTTTAAAGAAGAACCTCCACGCAAAGGACTCCTCACAGGACGTCCGTAATCAGGAAAGATCCTGGGGGAAGGGCCACAGGATTTCATCACACAGCTCCAGCTGGTTAGTCTCTGCATTCTTCTCATGTAAAACATCCACAAAAATAAGCCTTTAAAAAGAGCCATCCATGACTCTGTGGATAAACGGTAAAACAGTGCGTAATTTGAAATGCATCACGGAGGGGATCCCTGGGTGGCGCAACGGTTTGGCGCCTGCCTTTGGCCCAGGGCGCGATCCTGGAGACCCGGGATCGAATCCCACGTCGGGCTCCCGGTGCATGGAGCCTGCTTCTCCCTCTGCCTATGTCTCTGCCTCTCTCTCTCTGTCCCTCTCTGTCTCTCTGTGACTATCATAAAAAAAAGAATGGTTTGAAATGCATCACGGAGAACAAACGGTTAATAATGATGCTATGAACTGGAGAGGAAAGATGGCGTTTCGGAATGCAGGGAAAGATCTGGAAATTTAGGCATTTGCTGCCAGTCCTATGAAGAGCTGGGCTGGGGGCACAGGGCCGTAGCTTTGAACCCTTCTCTCCAAACGTTTGGAAAAGTGAGGGGAAACCGGGTCCCCCCGGGGAGAGAGGGATGGGGGACCCACAGACCACAGCACCGCCCGCGCACGAACCCGGGGACCGAGGCACGGCTGTCCCCTGACGACCCTTCCCGCGGTCATCGCCCGACCCCAGGGAGGCGCGGCCGCGCAGACGGGGCAGGACACCGGGGGTCCCGGCGGCCGGCCGGACCCCGCGCTGCGTGCCGCGCCACCAGCGGCCTCGGGTCCCCAGACTCCAGAGTGCACCGCGGGGAGGCCGGGTCCCGCCACGGCCGGTTCCAGCCGGTCCCACCGGCCCCCGGCCCGACTCCCGGCCCCGCACACTCACCATCGCTCGCTCTCTGGGGTAGCGGGTCGGCCACCATGCGATGGCCGCGGCCGGCGGGGGTCACGGCGCCCGAGGCGGCGGCGGCGCCTCCCGGAGCCTCTCAGGGCGGCGAGAGGTGATGCGCGGCTCGCGCGGCCAGCAGCGACGGCACACAGTCCCCGCCGTCCACAGCGCGTCGCCCGCACGTACGGTTCCGGCGGCTCCCCGGATTGGACGGTTCGCGAGGCCCCGCCCCGCCCGCCTGACTGACAGCGGGCCGGAGGTCACGTCTTTGAGGCGACCTTGCTTGGCCAGTGGGCTGCAACCTGTTCTCGCCCAGGACGACGCGCTTTGGACCCGAAGGCCGCCAGGCCACTCGCGCAACCGTGACCCTTCGTCACAAACACGGACAAAAGTGACCTCACCGTGCGTCATAATGATGTTGGTTCCATTTTGATCCTTGACCATAGTCCCGCAGGGAGTCGTCTGCCCACCACGACCACCCAACCCCACTCTTTGTATGGGAAGAGTCTCGCAGCCCTGGGGCACTTCGCTTCGTGGGAGGTGTGAGCCCCACAGTCCTGGACCAGGCCCGAAGCCTCGCGTGCTCGCATGTGAGAAACCTATTGAGGCAAAAAACCACCCGAAAACCGGTCAGTGTGATTCCCTTGATACTTACCTGGTCAGAGGTCAAAGAAGAAAACTGAAAGAACACTGCTTAGTGAAAAGTAATCCACGGTAAAGGCATCAAGGATAAACAGCGTCAGGACGGTGGTCATCTGTGGGGCAGGATGGAGGTGAGCCAGACAGGGGGACGTGAGGAGACTCTCACTGCTGCCCAGGTTAGGAATCTTGATGACTCCAAGGACGATTATATTAGCAAATCCTACCGCAAAACATTTGTAAGTTCTTTCCTTAATATATTTGATAATAAAAACCTTAAGAAATTGTGTTTGGGAACCCTGGGTGGCGCAGCGGTTTGGCGCCTGCCTTTGGCCCAGGGCGCGATCCTGGATACCCGGGATCGAATCCCACGTCGGGCTCCCGGTGCATGGGGCCTGCTTCTCTCTCTGTGTCTCTGCCTCTCTCTCTCTCTCTCTGTGACTATCATAAATAAATAAATATTTTAAAAAAAAAAAAAGAAATTGTGTTTGAAAAGAACCTAATTTGTATATGTTTGTCCTGTAATGTGGCAATCTGAGTTTCCACTCATGGTTTTGGTGGGAAAATTGGTTAAAAGCCAACTGTCTATTTAGAGAGAACTGTTGGCATAAACTCATCATCATACCTACTTTTTAAAAAGAAAAAGTGGCATGTATGATAAAGATATGGAGTATTTATTAATAGAATAATTAAGCAAAGTGTTTTTGCAATATATATGTATCATATTACCCCTTCTATAACTGTTACTGTCACCTGCAGAGTCAGGTGGGCCCCCATGCTGGGTTTGCTTGACAACATATCCCTTCCAGGAACAAATAAAAAGGTTAATTACTGGGGATCCCTGGGTGTCTCAGCAGTTTAGCGCCTGCCTTCGACCCAGGGCGTGGTCCCGCCATGGTCCTGGAGCCCCGGGATCGAGTCCCACATCGGGCTTCCTGCATGGAGCCTGCTTCTCCCTCTGCCTGTGTCTCTGCCTCTCTCTCTCTCTGTCTTGCTCACGAATAAATGAATAAAATATTTAAAAAAAAAAGAAAGAAAAGGTTAATTACTTTGATAATACAAGTGTCCAAGGAGGGCAGGCCTCTCAAAAAGGTGGGAAATGCCTTGAAAGAGCAAGGAAAGAGGGCAACTGGGTGACTTGGTTTTAGCTCAGGTCTTGATCTCAAAGTCATGGGATCAAACCCCAAGTCGGGCTTTGTACTCAACATAGGAGTTTGCTTAAGACTCCTCTCTCTCCCTAAAATAAATAATAAAATCTTTTTTAAAAGAAAGAGCAAGGAAAGGAGCCTGGCCTAGGTTTTTTCCTGAGCTTCAGGAGTTGTCCAGAGTGAGAGTTTGGGCACAAGGGCAGGGACTTCCCAGGACTGAATCTCTTGCCAGCAACAAATCAATGAGCAGCCAGGCTTTCTTCTCACCTTGTTCAGATGCAGGGAACAAGGAGAAAAAGAAGAATGAGGCTTTTAAAGTTATTATCCAACTAACATTAAAAACCAGAGACTTCTGGTTTATCATCTAGCACGTAAGGAACCTAGAGGTGACATTCCCATCCTCACCAGAAAAAAGCCAACAAAACCAACACCACAGAACTGTGAAAACATTAATCTCATGGCAAATTGCTGTGTCCAGAATTGGAAAGAGAGACAGAAATATAGCCATTTTTAACATATGCCCATATTATTCTCTTTAACAAGACCTGTCCTTAAAATAATCTGTTTTACAAGAGCCTGACTGGGATTTTACCAGAACCTACCTGACGTAGCAGGTGTGGGGGACAGGGGGATGAAATAGCCGAGTCCTAGTTATCCTTCCTACCTGACCTAAGTTGAGAGTGGGGGGAAATTTAGAAACACTTGAGGTTGAGAGACTTTTTGTTTTTGTTTTTTCTAGCTCTTGAGAGCAAACACATGGTGTGCTTCCCAACACTGGTTCTCCAACCCTCGGACATTAAGGATGAGGGTGGCCTACAATTCTATTTAATTCTAACATGAAATACATCATATTCCACAGTTTAATGGCTCAGTTCCACAAAACTGCCCCCATGTCGGAATGCCAGCCACAAAAGGAGGGGGGTTGTTGCTACCTACATTTCTGGATGGCCAACTACAAATTCAAAGGTTCCCGGGACACCTGGGTGGCTCAGCAGTTGAGTGTCTGCCCTCAGCTCAGGGTGTGATCCCAGAGTTCTGGATCGAGTCCCGCATCGGGCTCCCTCTTAGGAGCCTGCTTCTCCCTCTGCCTAGGTCTCTGCCTCTCTCTCTGTGTCTCTCATGAATAAATAATTTTTTTTCAAAAATTCAAAGGTTCCCTGGATCATGTTTGTTAATTTGACAGAGGCACTATTAGAACTAATAAAAAGCTCTTATTATTGATTTATTATAAAAGATACAAATCAGAAGCAGCCAAATGGAAGGGGCTTATTGGGCAAAGTATGTGGGGGGTGATAGGGAACTTCCATGCCTTCTCCAGACACAACACACTTCCAGCACTTTGATATCTTAGGATCTCTCTGAATCACAAAGCTTAGGAGTTTTTATGAAGTTTCTGTACATAGGCACGAATGACTAAATCATTGGCAGTTGACAGATAACTCAATCTCCAGCTCCTTCCTTCCCACTCCCCAAAGGCTGGGGGCTGGGCTGAAAGTTCTAAACTTCCAATCCAAGGTTGGTCTTCCTGGCAACTAACTCCCATATTAAAGCTATCTAGGGGCCAGCAAATAATTGCCTCATTAGAACATAAAATGCTCCTGTCACTCTTATCATTCAGAAAGTCCAAGGGCTTTATTTAGGAAATCTCGACTGAGAACCATGACAAACACCAAATATCTTCCCTATTATACCAAAGAAGGTCACAGCCCAAGGACACATACTCATTAAAATACTAAGTCCAAATCATATGACACAGAATACTTCCTCTCTGCCCACAATATTCCACTACACCAGGAAGACTCCTGTTTGGAATAACCAGAAGAACTATATATTTCATAACTTATTTAAGAAACCTCCATAAACCCTAAAGACAACATGAGTGACAAAAGCAAGGACACTTGAGAATATTTTAGCCTCTGACCGCCAAAACAGAGTAAACACAGCTTAAACCCTACTCAGATAAACATGAACCCTTACCCTAAAGCCCTATTTACCTCGGTTCCTTTTCCAAAGTCCATCATGTCTAGCATTAAACAAAAAGTTAAAAGGCATACAGAAAGACTTAAAAAACACATTTTCAGGAAATAGGACAAGCAAAAGAACCTGGTTTTCACATAGCAATATGTTGCAATAATTGGACCGTAAATGTAAAGCAGCCATTATTAATACGCTAAGTGCTCTACAGCAATAGTGGATAAAATGCAAGAACAGATAAGTAATGTAAGAAGTAGAAACTCTAAGAATCAAAAGGAAAATGCAAGAAATAAAACACCCAAAAGAATAGAACAGAAATGAATTCCTCTGGGGGGGCTCATTGATACAGTGGAAATGTGTGAGGAATCCGTGAGCTCCTTGAAACTGAAATAAAATTAAAAAGACCAGAAATCCAAGAACTTTGGGACAATTACAGAAGATATACACATAATGAAAATATATGAAGAAGAAAGGAGCAAATAAGTGAGGCAATAATGGACGAGATTTTCCCCAAAATTAATAATAGACACCAAACTACAGATCTAGGAAACTCAAAAATCACCAATCAAGATTTAAAAAACAAGGGATGCCTGGATGGCTCAGTGGTCGTGCGTCTGCCTTTGGGTCAGGGCATGATCCTGGGATCAAGTCCTGCATCAGTCTCTGAGCAGGGAGCCTGCTTCTCCTTCTGCCTATGTCTCTGCCTCTCTGTGTCTCTCATGAATAAATAATTAAATCTGAAAAGAGAGAGAAAGAAAGAAACAAGGGGATATAATTGAAATCCATGCAGCACTGCATTCAAACACAGCAGACTACACATTCTTCTCAAGTGCATGTGAAATGTTCACCAAAATAGGCTATATTCTGGGACATAAAACACAGCTTAAAAAATTTAAGGAAAAGAAATTATACAAAATATGTTTCCAGGGATCCCTGGGTGGCGCAGCGGTTTAGCGCCTGCCTTTGGCCCAGGGCGCGATCCTGGAGACCCGGGATCGAATCCCACATCGGGCTCCCGGTGCATGGAGCCTGCTTCTCCCTTTGCCTGTGTCTCTGCCTCTCTCTCTCTATCATAAAATAAATTAAAAAAAATTTAAAAAATGCCAAAACTTACAACTTAAAAAAAAAAAACAAAAATATGTTTCCAGAGCACAATAGTATTAATCTAGAAATCAATAATAGAAAGACAGTTGGAAAACCCCCAAATACTTTGAGACACACTTCAGGGCAGCCCCAGTGGTTCAGCGGTTTACTGCTGCAGCCTTCAGCCCAGGGCCTGATCCTGGAGACCCAGGGTTGAGTCCCATGTCGGGCTCCCTATATGGAGCCTGTTTCTCCCTCTGCCTGTGTCTCTGCCTCTCTCTCTC